CAGGCAACCCTTAAATTCAGCTGCAGTTCGACCTCTAAGGGCTCGGAAGAAGGGAGGCACCTGGCTGATCAAGGCGGGCATTGAAGGATTGCTGAACGGGGGGATTGAGGAAAGGAACTCCATATACCGGGCCCTGTACCAGGAGGTCTTAGGGGGACCCTGGGGAGTACTAGGGAGGTCTTAGGGATTCTTAAGTTAAAGCCTCCTTAGGGATTCCGTAAAAGGTGATTCAGGACGGGAATCAGAAATGATTCTCCCCTGAGCTTCTTGCGTCAGGAATATGCGCCTCTGCTGTTCAGTGTCGCGACGCTACTCGTTTAAGTATTCGTTCGTTGGGGCTGTGAGGCTCTGCGGCGTAAGGTGCTCAATGCGTCTGAGGGTTAAGCTAGTTCATTTAGATCTTGAGAGAGGCTCTCGCCTAGCTCTACGTTCAGCCAAATTCAAAAGTGCGCATGAAGATGATAGAGAACCATCCACCAGCATCGCCTCATTTTTTCCCGTGCAGGTAGAATTTGCTGCTGCTGCTGCTGCTACTGCTGCTGATATTTCCGCAGTTACAAGACTCCAGTTGTAGCTGTGAGCTGTGTCGGCTTTTATGATGCGCAGGCCTTAGACAAGCTTTGTGCGGTTCGCATGAAGCAGCCGGGGCCCCGACTTAGTCACCGACCGGTAGCTGCGGGGATGACTGGTGACTGCATGGTTATCAGCAGTAAAGCTGCACAAGTAAAGGACTTATGAACGACTTACAGTAGGAGGGTAGTGGGGTCAGGGAAGAGGTATTAGAGGTATTTGGGGTAGGCACTACATGAATGCTTGTGAGAATGTCCAGCGGGAAGTTGTCTAGGCTTGGCAGTTGCTGTGATCTTTGGGCATGGCCTGGGAAAGGCGATCTTATGCTTATATCTGGCGATAGGTACGTACTTGGTGGTCAACAGCTTGTACATCCAGCCGCTAAACCCAACATTCGAGCCAGTGAATATTACATCTCTGTCTTTGCATGCCTTCTCGTAGGAACCGCTGGTGTAGAGAACTGTTCCTTCACATCTAGATATGCGTTTTTGACATTCGTATCGCCCTTTCTAAACCCTATGCAACGGAGTCCTTATAATCAGGTTTGCAAGGACAGCCTATACTTTTGAACATTTCCCTGAGGCTCCAAGGACCAACATACTAGAGTTTTAGGGTCCAAAAACCATTCATATTACACCTAAAACCTTTTTTTGGGGGTCCTTGGACCCTTCTCTAGTCCTCATGTATCCCTATATATCCCCCTATAGCCCCTTTAAAGGGGGCTTGTTATTTGGGTCCTTGGACCCTTAAGGTTTTCCATATGTCCCATGTAAACCCTAAACCCCTAAACCCCAAAACCCTAAACCCCTAAAACCCTAAACCCCTAAACCCTAAAACCCTAAAACCCTAAACCCCCAAACCCTAAAACCACTAAACCCAAGGGAAACCACCCTCTAGCTGCCGAGGTTCCGAGCCTACGATGCCCTGATGGCTCTCAAAGAGCCCTGTCGCAATCCAGGGCTTATAGTCCCCTTCAACTAGATAGAATATTGGGGTTACCATGGGATCATGGAAAAGAAAATGGAAACTACTATTTAGGGTTTAGGGTTTATAGGGGTGATAGTTCCCATTAAGTAGATAGAATACGGGTTTGGGTAGATTATAATAAGGTCCCCATATACCCCATGTCCGGACTATAGTTTTACAGATGCAGAGTTTGGGGTTCTAAGGTCCAGGATGCAACGAGTTCAGGTCTAAGGTTTAAGGTTTCGAGATGCAGGGTTTGAAGTTTTCAGGTTGAGGGTGTAGTCTTTCGAGTTTCGAGCAATCAAGAGCTTGATGTGCAAATTCTGTAGCTTCAGGGTTACCAGCGCATAGCAAATCTATATTCCCAGGTTAGCATAGGACCCCTCGAGTGGCACTATGTTGCAAAACCAACATACCTGGAAACTCTTCGGGCTGATAAATCAGCCCAGTTGCAAAACGCCAGGTCAATCAGCCCAGAAAAAGCAAATCAGCCCAGAAAATGATGGAGAGGTAAAATCAGCCCAATTGAAGAACCTTCTAGCTAGCATTGAGGAGCAACAGGTTTCATTGGATCAGGAGACCCCACCAACACTCCATCAACACTCAACAAATACTGTTTTCTTTGGACCCCGCTTCTATAGCTTCTGAAGCCCAATCACGCTTACTCATATTGCCCTCGGATGCCCAAAAAGAACATCTTCGTGTGATGGGTTCATTGACTACGCAAATCGCAACTCCTGAAAGAAACCCAGATGCTATACCAGCAATTGAATTCTTGCAGGCACGTTTCTGGAGGTACGATTTCTTTACCCTTTATGCAGGCGAACTACCCTGACACCCTCTCTACTTGATTCACAGTTCTTGGGAAGCATGAGGCTTCAAGTGCTCAACCATGAACAACAACTTTCCCTTGCCTAGCTCTACAAAGTATCTTCCCTATATGTCGAGCACATGAGGTTTATGCGTACGCTTGCGCCACAAAGAACGGACAATTCAAAGTTGAAACCATGGGCCTCCAAACCCTAAACCCTCAACCATGGGATCCTTTTATACCTACTAATACTCTATATGATGTGTACCCTTAAAAGGTCCCTAGAATTCCACTAAAAGGTCTAAAAACCATATTAAGGGCCCGTACATCTAAATTTAGGAAGCAAGAAGACTGGCATTGTTCTTCGCCATCCAGATGCTTGAGATCCTGTTGCAAGGGTTTAGGGCATTGAGGCTAAGGACCGGGGGCTGTAAGGGATGGTCGGGTCTTTGGCAATGGCACCTTGGGATGTGGGCTTCTAGCACAAGATTTGTATATGAAAATAGAATCGGGTTCCGGGGTTCAGGAAAGCTAAAGCTTAGAAAGCACCATTCGCGTAACTTGTAAGGCTTGTGTGGGCAATGCCTAGAAATAAACTGGTTGACCGTAGAATCGTACACCTTTCATAGCATTTGTCAACTGGCTTGCGCAACCCTAAGATTAAAAGGTCACCCTTCGAGGTGCTCTCAAGGTCTTCCATGCCCACACAATGCCTGCTGCCAAAAGCCTGAAAGCTCTCGGAGCTGCATGAGTGCAACGCAATGCACGGCCTCTTCATGGTCTGCCTATTCTGAAGGTCCAGGGGTCCAAGTAAGAAGGTGAACAGCGGGGATCACTTGGGCTCCTAGAGTCTTTGAAAATCTACGCGTTATAGACTTTCAACCCCGACCCTCCAAGGATAGTTTAAGCCCGAAGTAGAGAAGTATTTCTTTTGCAGTCAGTTTAGAGGCACCCTGGCAGTTTTTGAAGTGGACATGTGCACACAAGCTATTCCTGTACAAGTCATGCACATCTTTGCTTTGCGGAGATACCAAACCATCTAAGGTAGGAGTTAGACATGTGCCCCCCAAAACTTAGAACCCTATTGGATCTTATTAAGCTCCATACAGTCCTCATTACCTCCTTAAACTGTAAGGGGGTACATTTGGGGAGCTATGGTCTATTGTAACTCCTGCCTGAGAGTACAGCCGAGTGAACCAATCGAAAAGAACATACACTACAACAACTTACAGGAAACTCGCTAACAGTGTAGTCTTGCGCCTTCAAGGTTTTCCCACTCAGGACCTAATACCCGTAGCCAGGTGATACTTTGGAAGCTAGCACAGATCCCATTCTTGCTGCAGGCAGAAAACAATCACCCACCAGAACAAGGCATAATTCTTAACGTTTGCTGCTGACCATGGTCCGCCATGGGCGCGGGCTGTACCTGGGATCTATGCCATCCCTTTCTTCCTCAAGAGAGCCTTTGACTTAAACATGATGCGGTCAAAAACTCTGTGGTTGACTAGCCTTGCTGACACCTTACGCGCCAGTCGAGACACTTTACCAACCATGTCTTCGTTGCTTTCGCAACTCCAGATCAAAGGGTTTAAGATTTTTGGGGAGCCCGAGCGCAGCTGGGAAAGCATGTCTTTGCTTACGTGATGTAAGCCGTGAAGCTTAGGTTTCAAGCCGAACCCTGCAAATCCCAGCTGATGGCACTCATAAGCGCAACGCTTGTACCCTCGAAGCATACAGGACAAATGGTGTTGGGCACGTTGTCCGCATTCGCGGGACAGCCACAAACTGTGCGAGTGCAGAATTCGCCAAAACTCTACGGCAGACGACAAACTCTGCGAAAGGGCTTTAATCAGCCGACGTTCATGCGCATCCTCGCTTGCGCGCATCTGGCACGTTATGAAAAACAACAACCATTGAGTGATCAGTGTGTTGTCACTGCCCTTCCAGTTGCCCCACGCAAAAGCTAGCTGGTCGGGATACATAAGGTTGTTCTTTGTGAAACTGCGCAAGGCTGCTGTTTTGCCCGAGCCCATGCACCACATTCGAAAGCAAGAGTGCGCCCTACATAATCTGTCATCTATGTTACGGGTGCTGTCTGCCTCGAAATCAAACTTTCCCATATGACACAACAGGATCAAGCCCGACCCATTCAAATCTCTTCCTAGCCCCACCTTCCACAGGTGAAAAGGATCCAGGCGGAAGATGGCCGATGAAGAGGCCGCTTCAAAGGGAACTGCAGTTAGGCTAGGTGGGGTGCCATTTTTCCACGGCGAGACAAACTGCATGGACCGTTCCCATAGAGGGTCATCATCTAGACTTTCAAATGGTACCCCAGCAGAGCCGGCGTTGCAAAGATGACAGATAGGGAGTTCCTGCTTTTTCCCTAAGTTAAAGTAACTCTGGCTGAGATGTCCTATCTGGTGATGAAACTTAAGGTCCCCCTTTACACCCAGGAACCCCCCATATACAACACCTTTGCCAGGTACAACCACCCCGTCCTCACATAAACTCTTAAGGTCTTTCGAAACGAGCTCAAACGCTGCATGCAGTAGGGACGGGTTCTCCTTGTATTGTTTCGATGCCATTCCAAATAACAAGAATTTGGACAGGAAGACATGCCCCATGGCATTCGTGCACTGCGTTCCTGCTCTTGTTAGCTTGGGAAGAGGAACATCTGATGACACGTGCAAATCCGCATATCTTCTGAGGACGCTGTCAGCTGCGCAATCACACTTGCATCCTTTCCTTTTGTTGGGGGAGGGCATGCCTAATGGACTTTCCAGAGTGCAAAGCATGTAATGGCTTTTCTTGAGGTATCTTCCTTCATCTCCATGCAAGAGGAGTGGAATAGTGCGTCGAAGTCGTGCCTCGTTGCCTTTGAACGCAGCGTGCTGCGGATGAACCTTCCTGTACAAAGACCAAAAGGTGTCCAGCTCTGCTTCCGCATTTCTGGCAGTACCACACAACAATTTAGGGTACTTCTCAATCAAGAAGGCCACCCAGGAAGTTGGTCGAATCCAAGGCAGCTCGATTGGCACCGCTCCGTTCCCTACAGGAAAGTTCAAGGTTTCTCTAGGCACATTCAACCCAAGGTCAAACTTGTTGAGATGCTTCTGCACATCTCTACCCGCGTTGCTGTCAGCCATTGCTCCTGCGCACAAAATGCCAGGCGCATCGCAGCCGTCCGATCGCGCTGCCCGCAAGTTTCTGGCTATGGTTGTCGCTGGCGCCTGGGATCCAATCACTTTAAGGTTGATGGGCGGGGCCAGACTTAGCTTGCTTTCTAGATTCGGTGTTTTGCGGGTTCGACACTCGTCCCTTCCCCCTATAAGCTTTCATGTTTCTAGTGGGCCCAACAGCAATTCTATCGGGGCATTGCCTTTAGGCAAAGTCGGAAGATTAGTGAGGGAGGGTTGCTTGTTAAGGGTGAGGTGGTTCATTGTTCAAGCAAAAAGAATTGTCGGAAGCAGTTCACGGTCTGCACTTGAAAGCCAAGGGTTGATACTGAAAATCCTGCGTAACTACCCGAATGCTTACATTGGGACTTCGAGCATTTTAGTGTTTAAGGTTCACGCAGGACTCTTTGTGGGAGCTTCCCCAATTTTAGGGGTACCATATTGGGGTCCCTACAAAAAGCTTGCTAGAATCAGCAACTCCCTATGGGTCCTATGTACGTATATATACTCCCAAAACCTATACTTACACTACTGGTTTAGGGTTTAGGGTGAGCTCCTATGTACGAAGCACTTCAAAATTGGGTACGTGTTCCCCTTACGAATTGTCAGCAAACCTGCCTCATCTTGATATTCGACCCAAGGCCCCAAAACCTTACATGAAACACAATCAAATCCAAATCCCTGAGACTTTGAGACCCAAACCTGTAACACCTAGAGCCCTAACTAGCGCCCAAGGTCATTGCTCTCGTAAGGTACCTGACCCCAGCAAATCCCAACAGGAACCTCGAAAATCAATTGTTGACACAGAAGATCCTGCGTAACCATGTTAAACCTTACACCAAGACTTCTAGCACATTCTAGCATTATAGGGTACCAGGGTCACGCAGGACTCTTTGTATCAACAATAGTGCTACAAAAAACATGCAAGATTCAGCAACCCCCTAAGGCTCCTAGAACCGAATATAATTCCATAAAACCTATACCTGTACACTATTTGTTTAGGATTCAGGGTGAGCTCCCAAGTGCTCAAGCGCTCAAAGATTTCCCTTTTGTATGGGGAGATGGAGCGGGTAGGGTTTAGGGTTTAGGGGTTTAGGGTTTATGTTGAGCACCAGGCCCCATCACCATAGTCCTCAGCCCACTGTTCCAGCATAGCATGGTTGCGTTTGGTACCTGGCATTGGTTGTAGCTTCATGGGGTCCGTTTTAGGATTTAGGTGGGTGGTTGTCACGGTAGTGGAACTGTTGTGGGACACGATAGGATATATAAAGTGTCATAAGTACGGGCTGTATGATACGAGGACCCAAAAAGGGGACTATAACTTTGACAGCCTACCAGGCAATCCAATTAAGGGCTGGGGTCAGGAGCTTGGAAAAGTACATCTTACTACGCGTGTACAAAGGCCCGGGTGAATTCACCTTGGCAAGCGCGCTTCATGTACTCGTTTCGAAGAAATAATCAAATGACGGCTGTAACTGTAAAGCACATACGCATTTGGGATACTTTTTTCCACGGCTGTGGTCTCTCTCCCGCAGTTCTGCTGAGTGGGTAAGCCCGACTGTCAGCAGGGACGTGTGCACAGAGTGTGCGTAATTCGCACACTGGAATAAAGATCTCAAGCTGCCCCAGGGCCGAAATTATGACAGGGACTGCTGGATGCAAACTTCAGAATCAGTGCACCTTGGGTGTCACTAGGGTGAGCTTACTTCTTAGCTTTGGCCTTTGCTTTGGATTTAGCCACTCCCTTAGGAGCCGCCCTGGCTCGCTTCGGCGGTGGCGGCGAGGGTGCCTCGCTCTCATTGGGTCGCTTGGCATTGTTGACAACCGTCCTTGGCACCCTAAACCCTAAACCTTGGGTACTGCCCCCAGCCAGTAACAGTCTATATTAGGGGTCCTATTAAGGGCTATATAACCATATTGTAATTATTATCCAACTGTTATTGAGTGGGAGGCAGTATCCAACCTAAACCCAAAACCCTGAACTTTAAACCCTAAACCCCTAAAGCTCTAAACCCCTAAACCCGGAACCGGGTCCCTTAAGAGCCAATTTGAGAGAGGGGCTTGGCACGCGGCTCCAGCAGGAAGCAGGAAACACACCTTAGCAAGAGCGCTTTCTTTACTTGGGGTTGGGATGAGACTTAGCGGGGCAGGGTCCAGGGTGAGGGTTGTCCATAATCCCTGGCACGACTCCTGTGGAGTGGCTCTTACTTACGTGGAGGTTTCCAAGTTTCGCGTTCGGGGTTTGTAGGACAAGCAAGGGTTTAAAGGTTCAATTTGTGCGTTGTACTATGTGCTGGCCTTGGTGGAGTTTCAGGGTTACGGTAGGGTCTAGGATCCTAAGCTTGAAGACTGAAGCCCTCAGCCGCTTAGAGAGGGCAAATCGTGAGAAGATTGCCACAGATCGCCCACCCAACCTCTGTAACCCCATTGCAACTGCCAAGAACCTTGAGCCTGAATGCCAGTCAACCGTACCTAAAACGAACCAGTACAGATACACCTACATCCTTGAACATCCGAGTCCTTGTATGTGTCGAGGCCTGTAAAGAGAATCAAGCTGGAACCTAAATGGCAAAAAAATCACCTGCGCTGGGTCCGCGAGATTTAGGGCCTTGTGTTAGGGTTCGGGTTGGGGAGCTGCGTGTAGCAAAGTCTAACGTCAGCCAGGGCCCTGGCAAGCCCCGAGCCTTGATCAAGTGATCACGAAGCTGCTGCTGGAGCCTTGCAAGGAACAGAAAACGAAAGCAGAGCCAAAGCGGATCTACTTTACATGTACATAAGGCCAGACGCTCGGTGGTGTAGCCATCGATCATGCCAGTCTCATAAGTCTTGTTCATCTCTTCATCTGCGGCAACCAGGTCAGCTTCCGTTTGCTTGATCTTGTCCAACATCCTTGGACAAGTAGGCAACTAAAGATAATCCGTGAAAGAAGCCGAGGCAAAAGTAATTGACACAGGGATCATGCAGGCCGAGAATCTTGCTGACCATAGAACTGTCTCCACAGTTCTGTAACTCTTGGGTGCGGAGCCGAAGCTGTGTCAGGCGCTTCTCAATCGCTTGGCCTGCTTTTGGCACCAGCGAAGATGGCACCGTAACTTGCTCGATGGAAGGGAAACAGCCCATCGTCTTCTTGTCAATGCCTTCCATTGCTGGCATCTGCTGGCCTTCATCTGGAAGGCTGCTGGTAGCGCCTGGAAAATAGCGAGTAGGTTGTGGGCACCACTCGCACTTGGTTGAGGGCTCACTTTTAGGATTTGGGGAAGGCGTGGGCAAGGGTGGGTCTGGTAGCTAGGTGCTCTAGGCTACGGATGAGGCAGTGGGATGACATGTTGGATAGTTGTCACAGAACGCAAGCACATGTATCGTCACACGTCGCCTTGGAGATCCAATTGCATCCAATCCATCTCAAGGTCGGCGTCCTGAATGTCGCCCTCCTCTCTGGTCTCCACCATCTGGCTGACGATGGATCTCTTGATGTTCCTGAAGGAAGCATGCGCTATTCTGAAGTGACTTTTGTAGGAAGCACTCTTAAATGATGACCGAATAATTTTTCACTTGCCACCGAGAATCTTCTTATGCCCCGTCACAGAGGTTTGCGCCCAATACATTTTCTTCTTCTCATAGAGACTGGTCCTGTGGCAGATTCTGAGGAAAGGTCTGCTTGCAGGCTTTAGAGGGCTTAAGGCTCAGCGTTTTAGGGCTAGTCATTTTCTGGGCTGAACTACCGGCGAAGAATCAAAATTGGGGATTGAGCTTTGACTTGGGGCAGCTAGCTGGACAATCCACATGCATCTGTATACGAAAACCATGACTGCCTGTGAAGTTTACGATGTCCTGATGAATCCCTTTCGGGAAGCGCAGTGGGCCTTCACGCCGGATATTCTCTCCCTTAGTTGCGAAGCAGATCTATTTTTTCCATCAGGGAAATTGGAATGCCTGGAAAACCTTTACGTTGCGCAAGGCGCTCCGGCCAATCGAGCTCCCTCATCTCATCTTCCGTCAGGAACTCCCAGGACTCGTCGACTTCCACTTCCTGCATAGACTCCACCGTGCGGCGAACTTTTTTGAGGAACGCGTCCTGAGCTCATGTAGTTTCGTTGCATGTGTTGGAATTAAAAATTTAAGGTTACTCAATAGCAAGCCAGACTTGAGCGAAGTCTCCCTGCTCCATCCGCACATTTCGAACTGACGCAGCACGCCATCCCTCGTTTCTAGGTTCTTCCACTCCTCGTAAAGCTCCTCTGGGATCAGCCTGCTGCCGTCCGCTCTTCGCGCCATCAACCTTCTCAAACGCTTATCAATAGCGCCTGGTGAGAGGTCATCGGGCTCCTTCGGGGGAATTGGGGCATGCTCGGGCCGGTACACAGAACCTTTTCCCGGTGCTGGCGCTGTGTTGCGAACAGGCGTTGGAACCACTGGAGCTTCAAGGGCACGAGCGGGAACCATGCCGCCTTGCCTTTGCCCTGGTGTTTTGTTGCATGGGGAGGCTGAGGAAGAACTTGCTCAGAGGGCGGAAGGGTGGTTTGCGCGGGCGGGAGGTTGGCTTGGGCAGGAGGAACAGGGGCTTGGAAGGCGGGAAGGCCCGCGCAGCAGGAGGGGCTGGAGCAGCGGCTGGGCAGGAGGGGCTGGAGCAGGGGCTACCTTGTCAGAAAGCGGGAAGGCGGCTGGCGCAGCAAGAACGGGGGCAACTTCCTGGGAAGGCGGGAGGGTGGCTTGGGCAGGAGGAACGGGGGCTACCTTGTTGGAAGGCGGGAAGGTGGCTTGCGCAGCAAGATCAGGGGCTGCCTTCCTGATCAACTTGGGTGGAAGCAAGGCTGTTGGGGATTTCCTTCTTCACCTGCTCTGGAAGCGGGGATGCAGGGAGCGAATTCGGCAAAGCAGCAGGGTCTGGAAACTCAAAACCAGGAAGGCCTGCGCTGGCGCGAAACTTGTAATGAGCTTCCCACTCCGCGGTATCTCGTGGAAAATACTGCGTGTCCTGATGGACAGGTTTTTACCGGTGCGCCGGCAATCATAGGGAGCCCAACACACCTCTCTAGAAAGTATACCCTAAACCCTATAACCGATAACCCCTAAACCCAAGTCCATATATAACATTACCTCGGGTACCCAAATTCCAATTCTCAAATTTAGAATTTCAAACCTTCAAAGGCCAAATGACCCCTCAAACTGTACCCTAAACACTAAACCCAGAGCCCTAAACTATGACCCAATTCATAATACGGGGTCCTGTGTGTCTAAATGTGCATGATACTCTCGCAAGGTTGGAACAAGCTTAAGTAATGACTCGTGCTCCCTGCCCTGAGTCCTGGCTGTTTGACAATTCTTCCTCTTTGCTCGAATCTTGCCCAAGAGTGCTAGCAAAGCGCGAAGCATCCTGATCGTTTCCTCCAACCCCAGAGTCACTATGGGATGCCTCACCCTGGCCCGCACTCTTGGATTCTGCAGGAGCTGCCGACAAACACGCTGTCCGAGCAAGCTCTTCTTCAGCCTGGCGGCCAACGGGGGGTGGAGTCTGCACGGGTGAGATACATGGCAACAATTAACTTTTTCAAGACCAACATTCTCCAAAGGTTCTCTTGCGCTGCCCACCCCATGATCCTGTTGCTGGCTGTGAAACGAGCTGCGACTTCAGACTGGAAATGTCATGTAGCCACTGGCTGATCTTTCCATAGCCCTTCTTATACAAAATGTGTAGGAAGTCTCAGACTCCAAAGGTGTCAACCTATGTCAATTTAGGCTACCCCATACCCCTCCTACATTTCCATTGCCCGAAATCCCTGCTTAGCTATGTGTACTGGAAGTGAAATCAGAATAAAAACATTTCACGTTTATCCGTACACTTCACATAGGACACTAAAATCTACATGAGTCCGGGCCTCGAGGGCAGCTAACTCCCTTTCCATAGCGACCAAATCCTCATCAATCTGACCGTTCAAGGCTTCACCTGACAACTCCATATCTTGCTTGCCCAGGAGGGAGACGCCGCGCAAGAGAGTCGAACTGGACCAGGCTCGGCTCTGGAAATGGGTAACCATAGCACAGAAGCACACACCCACAGCCCTGCTTGCCTATGCGAGTAAAACCAAGATCAGCAGCAAACTCGTTATTTCGCAGGAAATCGGGACAATCAGCTCATTTGAATTGGGCTGATTTTCGTGTACGGGTCATTCCGGCCAATTCCCGGGTCATTCCGGCCAATTCCCGGGTCATTCCGGCCAGTTTTTTTCCTGGAAAATGTTTTAAAAGCCCGTACGCGACAATCAGACCTATTCATTTCCCAAAGGACAAACCCTCCCACACGCAACACATGCCTGAATGCATGCCCTCCTTTGCAAGCAAAGCGTTTGCCGTAGCAGAGCACATGTGCTAGATCACAGGGCCAAGACTCTCGAATTAATGCCTTGTCCGAGTTTAGCTGAAAAAGCCTCAGCAAATTAAGAAGCACGAGCCCAGCTTTCTTGCAGATGCTCATAGTGCGTCGGGCAGCAGATGCCTGAGGCCTGGAGGCACGCGGAGGTATCTACTGTTTCGAGCATAGCTGAATGCCTGTACCAAGTTGGCGTCGTGCCAAAGGTCTCCCCAAGGCATGCCCGAAATCATGTCTGCAAGAGCCCCCTCGTTGCCAAGCGCCTGGACAGGAAAAATCGTCGATCCCCCCAAGCTCCAAGAGCATGTTAGGTCAACAGCTTATGACGGATTAGCTGCCAAAGTCGGGGTGGAACTGAGGAAACAACGCGGTTTAGGGTTTAGGTTTTATAAGGCATGGTCGAGGCACACACATCATCTCTTGAAGTGTTGCTCGCAGGGTCGGAATCTCCCGAACAATTGCGCCCGCGAACATGGGCGTGTACTGCCTGGGCTGCGTATGACAAGTCCAATTTGTGAATTCTTTTCAAATTTAGATGTCAAGCTGTGGTGCTGTGTGCTTCTCAAAGCTGATGTTCCAACATAACGCTTCTTTCCTGCTCCATCATAGTACTGACGCGCTGTAGACACCTTGGACTTGTGAGCCTTCTTGACCAGACTGCCAAGATTGAACCTGGCAATAGACCTGCTGGTCGACCACAGGTGCGTACGTTTCCACGTAGCGTGTTGATAGTGTACCATCCATAAAGCCTGCTTGAAAACCTTAGCTGGCAGGCGTCTTTTGGGCATATTGGGTCTAAGGATGGTGACACACGACTGACGAGGTTGAGCGCAGACCGCGCTGAAGTGAATTTGTTGTTGACATCTGGGGTTGTTTTGATTGCATCTGGGTCCAGGAATTCGGGTAGCTTGGCTTTCTAGGTAGGGTTTGGGGCCTTGGGTCCCTGTCTGGGGCCGCACCTTTTATGCCTTTCACACAAACTCAACGAGTATGTCTCGCCGTTGGGTTTGACGCAAGAAGGCCTTCAAACCCATCGGCGAGACATACCCGTTGAGTTTGTGTGGATGGCATAAAAGGAGCCTCTGTAGGGCTGATGGTGCGGCCCCAGATAGGGACCCAAGGCCCCAACCCTACCTAGAAAGCCAAGCTACCCGAATTCCTAGACCCAGATGCAATCAAAACAACCCCAGATGTCGCTAATTTAAATTGACTTACTCTTGGTTTTCAGCAGTTTTGCTTCAAACAGAAAACACTTTCAACGTGGCAACCGTCGCCAAACACCCGACAGCCCCACACCTCCCAGCCCCAATGAGCGGAGCGTAAGCAAACAGCTCCCACCTCCCAGCCCCAATGAGCGGAGCGTAAGCAAACAGCTCCCACTCCCAGCCCCAGACCCGTCCTTCAAGAGACCCCAAAGACCTCCCTCCCCAAAGACCCCAAAATGCGCTTCCCTCTCTTTTGGATTTAGCCACCCAAAACGCTCCCCCCCAAAACCTGCCCAAAGACCCCAGCACCAAAATGAGCTACCCCATCCCAGAGCACATTTTGCATTTACCGCAAAACCCTCCAAACACCGCCAAAAGCCAGCCCACACGCACCCCCAAAAAGCAGGCAGCAGCAGCAGCAGCAGCGGCAGCAGCGGCAGCAGCGGCAGCAGCAGCAGCAGCAGGTTTGGGGTTTCGGGTTTACAGTTTAGCATTGCGCCTGCAGCATGGAAAACATTCCAAATAAAGAGAAATAAGTGGCTAAACTGCAACTTTGGACTGGAATTGCTGAAGCAGGAGACTTGGGATACGATGCGTAGAGGATAGGGTTATATGGGTAAAAGATGGTGTCAGACTTAATTGGACCTGGCCCCATGTACTGAAGCAGGCCACCTTGACCCCAACTCTGGCCAACTGCTCCACCATCCATTGAAAGCGGTCGTGCTGGAAAAGCAAACTGCTGCTCGGATTCTCTATGATCACCACTCCAGCAGCACAGATCACGGTCATGATGAGCAAAGAGCATCTCAGGGTGGTAATTGACAGCCAGAGTCGTAGCCATAGTGCGACGGGGCTTCAGGATGCATCTAGTTACTCT